AGGGAAGCTCTGTGGAAATTTCCCAACTATAAATCCTAATGTTGACGTTTTTGATTCTGCATCAGTGAAGTGAGAGGACATTACCGAGAGATTACACAACAGAAAATACACAAAGTTAGAGGAAACGAGTTGTAACTAGTTTATTTCCAACCACAATGTTGGAACTTGAATAATTTCTATGAATAAAAAATAAACATACCAAAGAAGTTGTCGTTCTATTAAAAAAGTTCAAAAACAAAAAAAATGGGAAAGTATAAAATAATTAGTGTCACAAACAGCCATCAGAAGACAGTTACTTTTTTTTTCACAAATTGGATTGGAAGTATGAATTTTTTTAATTATCGGCAGTCAAACCTSTCTCACTAAACCATAATACTTTGATAATACTAAGGCTGACTAACACRAATTGTTTGTTTTATATACCAGTGCTGATACAGAACACCATTTTATTGGACAATATGTATTTTATTTTACAAATCAATGATTGATTGAATTATATAATCATRTATTTAATAACCTTAAAAGTACTTGTACACCGAAAAAATAATGTGTAAAAGAGCTGGTTGTCGCTGCCGCATGCTTGATAAGTGATTACATCTGCAGACATACATTAAAGCAGTGGTGTCAAAGTCAGTCCTCAYGGGCCAGTGTCCTGCATGTTTTAGGTGCTGCTCTGGTTCAACACAGCTGACCCTAAGTAGTGCTTAATTAGTAGGCCTSCTCATTATGCCATCAAGGTCTGCAGAGGCCTACTAATTAGGCACTCCTTAGGTTCAGCTATGTCTAACCAGGGCAGCTCCTAAAACATGCCCTTGAGGACTGACTTTGGACAGCACAGCACYAAAGTAACCAAGATCAGAACCAACGAGATTGAAAGATGCAGAGCGGTTGTTTGATACTCCAAGTAATGTGAGAACTGTCAATGTTTTCCTCCAAAGACAAATTCAACAAAGCAGGAACTCTTAGCTAAAGATAAAAATATGACAAAGAGAAATCAGTAAGGTCTAACTTCAACATCTTTATCCATCACCTAAAAATCCAATGCTGATGAAGAAGACTGATGAGTGTTGCTGYTGAAACTGGTATTTTAATCAGTCTGTTCTGTCAACAATATTTACTTGTCTCAAAATATCAGTTTTTGTATATTTAGCAGGGGTAGATATAACCATTGTTTAGGTTGTCCGACCTATTGACAACCTATTTTTGTTTCGGACAACCAAGCAAAAAAAGACCTCGATTAAATTTCTCCGCTGCGGGTGTCCAATCCTTTGTATAAATGAAAGGCGAGAAAAAAACTTGGTAAAACTGAACAGAACACTAAACAGTAACTTTTAATAAGGTCATGTACACAGTATACTCCTATTTAAGTGAAAATGTTGACCTATGAGCAGAAAGAAGCTTRTGAATGTTGAACTCTATTTCAAAGAAGAGAATGAGGAAGTTTTATTAATGCAAGTCATGCATTGTTCTCAGTCAACCTGGCTGACTGAGAACAATTATATATAATAAACTTCATCTACAGAACAATATACTTRTTAAATTACATTTTTCTTGAGATTCTTTTGGACAACCAAAATGTTTTGCGGACAACCAGRTTTTGTCAACAGATTGTCCACTGAATAACCTGAAAATTTTCCTTATGTCTACCCCTGTTTAGCTGTTTTAAAGAGAGTACTACAGAACAGGTCATTACAGTGTTACAAGTATTTATACTTAACAATGACTGAAAATACTCTGTAGCTGAGTACGCTGAGTTTTGATTACCTGAAGATAAATGGTCATGACAATGTTTTAACCTTTGTCTGTCAGTTAGCAAAATACCTCAGGAACAACTAAACAACTTTTAACTAAATTTGCAGAAAGCAATCATTGKATGTCCAATCACAACTGAGTGAGTCAACACAATTCAAGATGGATGCAACAGCCAAGCTAACAGACACAAAAATGCTAYCAACTCAGACCAGGAGCTTGATGTGGTAGTAGCTGAGACTCATGAATGGCACAGTGTTGTACAGAACTTTTTTTAGAATTTGACTAAAACAATATGCATTTCTTCAAGGAATGTTTGGCCTTTAATTACTGAGGACTGAGGAGTCAAACCATGTCTGAAAAACCTAAATCAAAATGTAAGGTCAGCCCAGCTTCTCCTCACTCAATACAGTCAGATGAGATCTGATCTGAGGTTCTGTAATAAAACTACATTTTACACTACAGAGCCACAACAGATCCAGCTGAGAGACAGTGAGCTGAGTAGAACAGAAACACAGATCATCCATTACTCAAACCGTCATCGTGTTATATAAGATTTTTCTCCTCAGAGGAGTGAGAGAACACACACACACACACACACACACACACACACACACACACACACACACACACATACACACACAAAGTAAAAGAATAAAGTTTTACACAGCAGGAGTGGACCATATCAGCTGACTGTTTTATCTACAGTTAGGTTCATATCTATTTCAAMAAAGACATTTTCCTAACTTTGGTTCGGTACATTACCACAATGAATTTTGAACAAAACTTTTTAGATGCMTTAGTTAAAGTTCAGACTCTGAACTTTAATTCAGTGAACTGAACAAAATGAGTGCATTGAAATGTGAGGAACTAAAGCATTTTTAAAAACAAAATCCCCTCATTTCAGGGGCTCAAAAGTAACAGAACAAATTAAATAATTGTAAATAAAATGTTCATTTCTAATACTTGGTTGAAACCCCTTTATGTGTTTATGTGTTCTGTGTTTTATTTACTATTAACTTACACCATATTTTTCTCTCCTGCAATCATTATGTTTTTGTGTATTATTGTATATTTTGAACTGAATTGACCTTGTGTTTGATTTACAACTTTTGAAATTATTTTCTTGATTTATGTTTCAATTTTTTGTTGCTTATGTGTAATTATGTTTTTCTGTTTCATTTTATTCTTTCCACCATTTTTTATACTGTGATTGTACAGCACCTTGTGAATACATTTCTGTGAAAGGTGCTTTATAAATAAAACTTTACTTACTTACTTACTTACTTACTTGTTGACAATGACTGCCTGAACTCATGGACATCACCAGACGCAGCGTTTTCTCCTTTTTAATGCTCTGCTGGCTTTTACTGCAGCAGTTTTCGGTTGCTGTTTGTTTGTAGTTCTTTCTGTCTGAAGTTTASTCTTTAACAAGTAAAATGCACAGCTGGGTTGAGACACTGACATGGCCATTCAAGAATATTCCACTTCTTTGCTTTAATAAACTCCTGGGTTTATTTGGCTTTATGTTTTGGGTCATTGTCCATCTGTGTTATGAAATGCTGATGGATCAGTTTGYCTGCATTAGGCTGGGTTTGAGCACACAGTTTGTGTCTGAATACCTCAGAATTCATCTGTCTGCTTCTGTCCTGTGTCACATCATCATCTGGTTCTACAGATATTTTGCTAACAGTAGGCCTGCCACGATTAATCGATGACTAATCGATTATTAAAATAATCAATGACTAATTTAATAATCGATTAATCGTTTTTTTTTCTTTTATTGTTGTTGTTCTTTACTTTTTTTTCTCTCCAAACTGCTTTGACACCTTCCACTGCCACATAGGGTTGGGCATAATCGTATCGTGTGCAATTAATCGTCAGAAAAACACTAATCGGTTATTTTTTTGGCATTTGACGATTAATACGATTAATGCCACCAGGCAGAGTCCGGTCGGTGTTCCTCTCTGCTTAAATATGACGAACATTAAAAAAATCTKTAATTTATTTATCTATCAACACAATTAAAAAATTGATGTATAACCTGAAGTCTGTAATTTTGACACAATTTGGAACAGATTTGTATGAAGAGGAAATCTTTCCCACTAAATTGGTCATGTGACCAGGACAAGGATGTCCAGGGACTCCAGGGGATTAATCATCAAATTAATCGTGATAAATTTTTTTGCCAGTATTGTCCAACCCTACTGCCACATCTGCCTTTCTGTCCTTGACACACATGCACAGTAGTGGTAACTGTGGTAGGCCGTGGACGTCACAAGACATTATACAGACAGGCTCTGGTATCATGGCTACCAGCAACGGAGCTCAAAAGTGTGGGATCATTTTAAGAAAATGAAAGAGAAACCTGTGTAATATCTGCAGAGCAGAACTTACCTTCCACAGCAATTATTTTTAGTTAGCATATAGCTAAAATCTAACGATGGTTATATAATAGCAGCTGCATTCTGACGTGATAAGCTGTATGTTTTATATTCAATTAACGTATGATCCGATTAGTCGACTAATCGAATAATAATCAGTGATTAATCGATTATTAAAAYAATCGTTTGTGGCAGCCCTAGCTAACAGCCACACACAAAGAGACCCTCACCTTCAGTGGTGGGGGATAAAAATGTAACCTCTGATCCCTGATCAGCAGCCTTGTTCTGACAGGGCTGGAGGTTTGTCTGTAGGAGAAAAAGTTCAGTTTGTACATCTGAACATCAAACAGCTGAGATGTTTCAGGACGTCACGAYCATCACCTCGTAAACAAACATCAGCTGCAGAAAACAACCATCTTATCCGTCAYACATCAACATACAAACAAAGAGTCATGTTTGGACCTGCAGCGTGGATAAAAAAAAGAAGTGGTGGGGATTTCCAATCCGGACTGTCAGATCCGGATTCAAAGGGCCAGCTTCCACTGCAGCTCCCCCATAAACACGGGCCTTTCTGTCATCTACCGGAAGCTGGATATTTATGTCCCTTTGAGGACCTTTCATAAAAACACTCAGCTCAGCGGGTCCAACAGAACCCCACGGAAGAGTCCAAATCAACCGTGCACCAGGTTGTTCAGGTAAAAGGCTAAGGTTTTAAGAAACCGTGGGAGCTAAAACCCCACCGGGTACCGAGTTCCCCTCCTCGTGCAGCTGTAAACACATTTCAGGCTAACGGAAATGCCCCCAGCTTTAATAGACCCACCACAGACGCCCCCMCTCTGCAGCTCCTGGGGGTCAGAGAGCTCCTACCTGCCTCCACCGTATCGCTCAGGTCGTGGTTGGCAGCTGTCCGGGGAAACTCCTTCAGCTTTCGGGAGCTGAGACTGAGGACGCCGCTGGCCGCCGCCTCCTCCAGCGCTCGCTCCAAGCCCCGGTTGAGGGGCAGGTTAGCGCCGCCGACGTGAGTCTGAACCGAAGGAGAAGAACTGAGCTGGGCGAGAGCAGCGCGGGCCGACTCCGGGCCCAACGTCGCCATAATGTCCGCCTCCGCGCGGGTTGTATCCAGAGGAGAGAGCGCGGTTAGCTAACGTGCGGGAACCTGCGGGGCACAGACTTCCAAGCTGCCTGCTGCCGCCGTCAGATTCCTCCTCAGYCTGCGTGAACTGAAAGCGATGCTACATCCGGTTCGGTACTTTCAAAACAAATGTTTCCGATTTGGGAAWTATAGTTAAATGAGTCATGCAGGAAAAGCTAAGCATATTAGTTTAAACTACAAAATTTTKTATATAAATCTACATATTTGACTGTTGCTTATATTTATTTCCAGGATTTTCTTTTAACCTGTTTCTAATTCAGGAAGCTTTTAAAGCTGGACCTGACTTTTAATAAAATATAATGTTTATCTGTATAATGCTCTTACACCCTGCAGTAAACACCCTTTATAACCTTTAGTGGCCTATATGATAGATTTATTCTGTTTTTGATTCAAATTTTGAGTCTGTAAAACACCTGTATTATTATTATTTTAGATAAAAGGGGGAGAGCAGATGTTACACGACTTTTTCATCTGTCTCATTTTATTTCATTTATAAATTATGTTTTGTATTATATCTAGATATTTTTCTTTTGTTTTAATTAATGAATAAAGTTTAAATAAAAATAATACAAACCTACATATAATGTGACTACAAGTTTTATTTTGAAAACAAATTGGTTTTATTTACAGTTTCATCACTGCGGCTGCGCAGTTCACCTTGCAGTAATAAAACCTCAGAGCCCTCCAAACTAGGAGGGAAACTAGAGAAACATCAACCTCTGCTGGAAACCACAATAAAGTACATGTGGGTCTGTCTGCCGGATGTGTTGTGGTCTGATCTGAGGCTTTATCCCAACAACTGAAAATAAAGCTCTGTTTTTGAATTTATTAACATTTAGTAAGTAAATGTCATGTCAAACACATTTCATAATAAAAGTCATTATAAACTCAAACTAAGCACATTAAAGGTCTGACCGCATTCAGCACGTCTCACCAGATTTGGCAGTGGTCTGTTTTTAAAGATGAAAAGGCGACCAGTGGAAGAAAAAAGAAACAGGAAAACAGAGGAAATCTGAAACAAACTATAATTTGGTTAAGGGAAATGTTTTTGTCTCATGAGTTTAAAAGAGACGGTGCAGAATCAGCAGATGGACCTGTGTGTTTTCATTTCAGGACAGCTATTTCCTGCTAAGGTATTTACTCTCTATTGGAAATCTTTCTTGCCCACATCCAGCAGTCACTGTGCGAGGGGAGTGGGGTACATCCTGGACAGGTCACAAGTCCATCACAGGGCCACATAGAGATAAAAGAGACAAACAACCATTCACTCTCTCATTCACACCTATTTACAATTTAGAGTTACCAATKAACCTGACAGTCATATTTTTGGTGTGTAATGCTGGAGTACCCTGAGAAAACCCCCACATGCCCAGTGCCAAACTGTGTGGATGTTGTTTTTATCATGGGGCTGCCACCATAGTGTTTCACTGTAGAGTGGTGTTCTCTGTGTGATACTGCCACCACTGTGCTAAACTGTGTGGATGGTGTTTTTATCATGATGCTTCCACCGCTGTGATTCATTGTAGGATAGTGTTGTCATAACATTCAGGTTCAGTTCTCATGATGCTGTCACCACTTCGCTTTACTGTACGGATATAATTCCCATGATGCTGCCAAGATCGTGCTTCACTGTGTGGATGGTGCACTCTGTTCTTAGCATGATGCTTCCACCACCGTGCTTTATTGTGGGAATGGTGTTCACAGCAATGTTTCTGCCACCGTCGTGCTTCGTTGTAGGATGGTGTTTTCATCATGATGCAAAAAGGAATATAAAACACACACAAAAAAAATACAAAAATGTTAACAGAAAAGAGAAGAGCAGTTATGAGAAAAGGCAAACAAACAATCAAACCTCATGATGAACTGTTTCAGTTCCTCTCCGAGACTTGAGAGGTGTCACACATGTTCAGTTTGCCACACGGTAATCTCAATGGGTGCATTGACAGTAATCAGATATGGAAGAGCTGCAAATAAAGTCCAAAACGAAAAATAAAATAATACAAACTGGGGGGGATGGGGGGATACCCCTACCCCTAATCTCAAGCAGCTCATCGGAGCTTACATCATCTCACAGCACTAGCACCCTCTGCCAGGGTCTGAGCGCCAAACTTTGTCATTCATGTCAATAAATTTACTTTCTAATTTCAGTCTGTCTTTATGTGAGTCTCTCCAGGTTGAATTGTTATTTAAATCATTTATTAGGAAGGATTATCATAGTAAATCTAACTTCATTGTAAATTACCATGGAAAAAACCTAAACACATGTAAATAATATCCACACTGAAGTTTGGAACAGCAGGTCAGAACCTTGCGCTGTAAACCCAGTCATTTTACGCAAAAGATGGTGATTGCGTAAATAACCTAAATATAATCTCTGCGTAAATGACCYAAATAGTTTGATACTCACTGAGTATCAAACTATTTAGGTTATTTAGTTAACAACAAACTTTATTTTGAGGGGAAAACTAGGAAAATGACACATTTCCTCATCTGGCTGCATTTTCTCCAAAGCGATCTGTCGTCGCTGCGCAGCAACAAACTCCAGCTGCTTTTGGACAGCAACAAYAATAACAAAGTCCACGCAATTATTTTTTTACCCTGACAGGAAATCTGATCTGGGTCGAATACAGGTGAGCATTTGGCCTGGACCAGGCCAAATGTAAAAGGACTATGGGCTTTTTTTTTTCACCACGACCCGTCAGCGTGGATCTGGAGACTGGATGGTTGCGCACAGGTTTGGGCCAGATGGGGCACAAAATACAAAATTCTTATTTTAATTTTAGGCTGCTTTGGTCGACCCGGATGGGATCAGAGTCAAAACGTTTTTTTTTTCAGGTGTCAGTCAGGTTTATGATCACAGCCCGACCCAGAGCTGGCATATGTGCGTAAACCCTCCGACTGTTCTCCATGGGTTGTGCACACCGCGCCTCATTACCTCTGCCAAGGGCGAGGTAATGTTTTCGGCCRCGTATGTCTGTCTGTCTGTCATTCTGTCGTTCTGTCTGTGGACAACATTACTCAAAAACCTGTGGACGGATTGTCATGACATTTTTACCACTTGTGGGTACTGGGCCCAGGAACACACCTTTAAATTTTGATGATGTTCCGGATCACGATGAGGATACAGGAATTTTTTTTCTATTAACACTCTGAGATAGCAAAGCTGTGATGCTTTCACGGGGCTTCTGTAAAAAACAGTGAGCTGGATTGGACAGCACGGACTTCAAACTTTGATTGTTTTACAAAAAGTACATTACAAGCATTACAAAAGTAATGTTGAAACCACATTTAATGATGAATAATTTTTGCCATAATATGCTCATTTACAGAACGTTTTGTAACCAGGAAGTGCCTGACTGCACCATGAAACCTTTTTTTCCCCCATTTTCTCAAACACACCACTTTTCCGAAACAACCAATCAAAACAGTTTGCTACTAGGCTTGTAAACAGAGAGCTGCTGGGCCTCAAAGTTTGTAGACGGGGGTGGGAAGGAAGCACTTTGTAAAGAGAGTCAAACCATTACAAACTCATACAAGGAGATAAAACAGACGTTTTACATGGTGAAATGTGACTGATGAAAACTTAGGAGCTTAATCCGACACCAGTTTGACGATGAATAACGTCGGGTGACGAGTCTGACTTTTTTTTTCACATTGGACTCCCCCAAGAAGAAATTCTGTGCATACTGCCTGCTTAAATGTTMGCTACATCAGAACTTATTTGGCAAATGTGTTTCCATCTCTGCTTTAGCGCATTAACTCTTACAGGATGGGGGGAATTGGTCTTGGCGGAGGTTTGCACTCTCCGAGTGCTTCTAGTTTAAATACTTTATTAATTTATTATCAAGAGTTTGTTCTCAATTTTACATCATTATAGTTATGAAGTGTCCTGCCTTCTGGAAAATACTACACCAACACGAGCATCAAGTAGATCAACTCCAGCGAGCGAGCGCACTGTGCAACAAAACCGAGAGAGAGAGGTCATAACTTGTCAGCGTTGGGTGCAGCCTGTAAATGTCATGGGACCAGCTGATGGGCAGGGCCGTAAAGTGGGAGGGCCAATGCCCCCCCCCCCCATTCCGGCGCCATTGGCTTTAGCACAGCTAGCATATGGAGTCTCTTGGTGGTTCAGGACATGRTGGAGGCCCAAAACTCTTCAGGAGATGAATTTCTATGAGCTGGCTGAGTTGAGRAATCATGTAAATATAATGGATGGAAGGTGGCTGAGTTCAAGAGTTTTAAAAGTCTGTTTTTAACAAAGTTTGGTGTGGGTTGTCTGTTGGCTTGAATTATAAGTTACAGAATACTGCTTCTAAACTTGTGCGTTGGTGCTGAGAAGTTCCTAAAGCACCTCTGCTGCAGACAGATTTCTAAGAAATAGGGAGTCTTCTGGGTTCAGTGAAGTTTGTCATTCTGTCAGTATGACAAACTGATTAGTGACAGAGAACCTGATGAATAAGAACTGAGGAGAATGAAGACAGRTGAACTTAATGAAAACAAGAAACACGTGAGTGGAGGAGCAGGAAAAAGTGCCAGGACTGACACGAGAAACAGAARATTTAAACTAAAATGAACTGAATCTATCAAAACTATCAACARTCAAAAAAGACACAAATCATAACCGTAAAGGCTGTACCCACTTCTTTAAAAAGTTTTCACTTGCCTTTAAAATGATGAACAATATGTGAAAGCCTGCAGACTCCACACAAGTTCTACATGTCTAAGGCTACATTCACACTGCAGGGCTTAATGCTCMATTCAGATATTTTTTAAAATCTGATTTTATTTTTATTTATTACATTTTATTTTTGGCATGGGTGGTCACTTTATATTTTGAATGTGACCTGGACGACTGAGAATCTACAGAAACATATGATAGTAATGCCCAATGTCAGTCGCAGACCGTATCAATACTAAAGTTAGTTGATTGATACTTAAGTTTTAGAAAGTTACTTCATTCCAAAAATAAAATGCTGCACCGGAGAATCCAGTCAGAGACAGGTTCAGATATACACACTGAACTAAATGAGCATGTCAGATAAACAATTAATCGGATCTGATTGCACAACTTCAGAATCAACATGCTAGCAAGTAGCATCCATGTTTAACTAATTCTGCAGTGAGCTGATTGATCACATCATTTTCTGTGCATGTGGGTTGCATCAGCGTTGTGAGGGGTTCACACTGGAGTCTGATGGAGGTCACATTTAAAATATAATGTGAACATCCATGCCAAAAAATTTGATTTTTGAAAAAAAAAATGGAAATTGTGCATTAGGACCTGCAGTGTGAACGGAGCAGTGAAGATCTAACACCAAGCAGGAAACATCAAAAGACTTTTCCCCTCTCTTTTCAATAATGCACATTTTACTAAAAACAATCTCTTACTT